GAATTATGGACGAGATTTTATTCGTCCGCACCTTGTATAGATTTGCTTTTCTATTTCACTATACAGAGTGCTTTCTGAGCTGCTAATACGCTTTCGACGGTTGGATTTTCTAAGAGGTTGTATTTAGTCTGAAAATAGGGCGCAGTAACTGCTAAGTACGTGTTGTAAGTCTTTTCCTGCCATAAAATCGCCATTTTCTTGGTAAATATGGGCGCACTTTCTATAGTTTGATATATATATTAACATGAAAAAACTATGTTTTATTGAAAAAATATTAATTAATAATAAGCTGTTTACCTTTTATTTTATTCATTTCGGCTATCATTTACTGTTCCCCATTGCAATAACTTGCAACAGATAATACTGAAATATTTTTTCAGATTAAAGATCTATTTTCTTATTTACTTATCTTTTTTCAAAATTTTTTATCGCTTTTAGTTCAATGCAATTTTAATTTTATATTCTGTTTATAACATTTATATTTAGTTTTATGATGGATATCTATCAAATTGGTGACTTATTTTGTAAATGCAAATGCAGTCATGAAGTAGAATCGCGAATGACTGGTATTAAAGAAAACATTTTGGAAGCACATTTGGAAGTCAAAAATCATCTGATCCGAAATTTAGAAGATATTATTGATGAACAAGAGGCACGAATCCAAAATATGGATGATTTTATTAACGGTAAACTGGACATTATTTTCAAGAGGTTGAATTATATTAATCTCTCATTCTCTGAAGTCAGAAATGATACTCGTTAAATGAATACCTCATCGTTTGAGGGATTTTTACTCAAGAAAAGTGGATAAGATTTAATAAAAGCTTAGTGCGAAGATTCCCACAACAATTATGATTATGGCTTCTTGTTCCAAACTTAACTCACGTTTCTCGAGTATCCTTTCTGACTTCACTTATTTCAGGCCGCATCAAATCACTTAGTGTGCGCAATAATATTCTCAAAGGTATCTCCCTATTATCACTCGAATTTGGTACTTTAAGCAATGAAAATTTAGCACTTAAAGAAGCTCTGGTTCATGCTCAACGTTCAGTACGGTTATTGCAGCTGAAACTAGAAAATTGTTCCATTTCAGAGGTCAAAATTTTCGATCATAACTGAATTTATCATTTTTAGCCTATCAATTGTCATTTTATTTGATTGGCCGATGAAATGGTTATTGATAGTTCAATCACTTCTGGAAATATCCTTTAATTCTGTTTCACTTTATTCAAATATCTTAAAAACTTTCCTTATTTTCTTTTTCATCAAAATTTATCGAGCTAAAAAAAAGCTAGTTGTGCTCTTTAGAATTGCTTAGTAAAAAAGAATGTTTAGGTAGAGCAAAATATCAGTGAAATTCGTCGAAAGGATATAGAACTTGAAGAAGACAATTCGTTAAATATTCATTCTAGCAAATATGTAAAATATAATATAAGTGATAACAAACAGCAGCCGAAAGTTCAGTTATCTGATGATAAAAATAATAACCATTACCAAATGTTTAATGATCAAAAGACGATTACAACACTGCGAAAGAACATGAAGAAAATACGGGAGATTAAAGTTAGTTTAGAAGGACGATAAAAATTAAAATAAATATGTTTTTATGAATTTAAGAGTGACTTATTTGAAATCAGAAAACAATGCATATTTCAAAAATTAAAAAAATTTCAAGTTTTACTCATGAAAAATTTTTGTACACAACGTTTTCTGCTTTGTACGAATTAATTGATATATAAATGCAGTAAAATCTGATGTAGCGACTTTTTTTTAAAAATTTTTGGAAAACAAAAAAGTATTGCTCGAGTTAGTTTTCATTTTTAACTATTTTTAGGGTGAATTGGTGAAAATATCCAAAGATATGCAAGAAGAAACACGTAATGATATACTAATAGTGCAAAAAAATCTTGTGACAAGAATTGATTCATTCATGAAATCTCTAGTGAAACGATACCAACGTGAAGTTGACGCCCGAAAGCGCTTGCATAATCAATTGGTGGAATTGAATGGTTTGCATTTATGTCGTTTTGAAAAGTCCTAAAATGATAAAGTCTATTGTAAAATCCTTGAAAGATAATGTGAAAGTATATGAATGAACACTGCGGATGTCGAATTGATAGAAACAGTTTCTATTAATTTTCTGTTCAAGGCATTTTCCGTTCTAGCCAAAAAATTTGCTGCTAGTAACACTTTTTTGAAAATGCAAGAGATGTTGACCAATCAAATTTTCAAAGATTGTTTCAGCTCTACTAAAAAATCTTAAGTTACATATATCACAGAATCTTAAATCACTGTTTAATATTTTGCACTATGGAAATTTTAAGCAGTGACGAATGTTATTGAATAAATTCTGAATAAAATTTTGATTTATTCTCATGCTTATACTTGCTCACTCGTAAAGGTAATATTCGCGTATTTTGCCGTATACGACCATCTATTGGAACGTGTGAAAAATCACTTCTAATTGATCCATACAATAACAGCTCAATTACTGTGAATGGAATAAACGGAGAAAGACGGAAATTCAGTTTTGATCGAAATTTTGATGAAAATCACTCGCAAGCTGAAGTAAAGTTTGTTATTAAGCAAAATATGATGTTTATTAATATAATATGCGCTGACATTGATAAAGTGGTAATAAAACGGTGATTTTCATTACCGTTTTAAGTTCTTTGTCGAAATTTTTTGGCGCTTCTTGGTTATAAGCTTCTTTAATAGCTTCTCAACTTTGAAAGGATCGAAATTTTACTGGTGCAATCTCAAATTATTTCAACAAAAAAGAAATATTTCAAAAATAATTTTAACATTAAATTCAGCCGAAAAAATAAATTTATGTCTCATCGTTCTTTACATATTAGAGCGTGAGAACAAAAATTAGAAATAAAATTAGATGCCATTATCTGACAGAGAGTAGAGTTTGTTATTTTTAGATTTTTGAAGAAATTATTCCGATCATTAAAAGTTGCATGGATGGTTACAATGTTTGCATATTTGCATATGGCCATACAGGAAGTGGTAAAACATATACAATGGAGGTATTTATCATTTTTTGATTTATTTTATTTGATTCAGAGTATCACAAACCCAGAGTAAAATTATTCCAATTTTTGTATTTCATTGAAATGTTTGAAAAATTTCTCGTTTATAATATTTCATAATTTTTGTAGTTTTGGAAACTTATTAAGAGCTCAGAAAATATAAAGTTTTGGGTTCAGGGATTTTGCATACGTTGTTGCTCTAAACCAAATTCGACATTTAAACTAATTCCCTTAAAAAATTTTTGATGTTTCAATTTTAAACTCAAATAACTTGATTAGACTGTCCCAAACACATCATAATTTACACTCAATCAGTCTTCCAAAAAAAAAAGAAATGCATTTCAGGGACCTGGTGATGATCCTGGTATTTACAAACGATCACTGATTTATCTTTTTCAGTTGGCTAAGGAAAGACGCAGTGATTTCGATTACACAATTTTTATATCAATGCTTGAGATATATAATGAGAAAATCAGGTTAGTATTTTATTTTAATCACATTTTGATTATTCTACTTTGTTTCATGACTGGATAAAAATCATTATTCCGTAAACTAAGTTACTTCAAGAGTTATGCAGTGAATTTCTATTTCTTGAAAGTCAACACAAACTATATAATGATTTCAGGGATTTGCTATCAAAAAACAAAAGTAATTTGTCAATCAAAATCGGTGATAGTGGTGCACTGGAAATTCCAGGTTTACTAGTAACTAAAATTAAGACGTTAGAGGAAGTTCAAGAAGTACTGGAACGTGGAAGACACAACCGAGTATTCCATTTTTCTTCCCAATTAATAGTACAATTATTATAATTAATTATATTTTGATAATCACTGACTTTGGTGGTATTTGACATTTAACAATTATTAATTTTCTAGGATCAAAACTTTAAATAGATTTCAGTAGTTTTTTTTTTCAAACTCCGTTCTGCAGAACTTATGACTGCATTTTATGAAATTATGGTTCTTGTTGCTCCTTAGTAACTGATAATAGTAATTCTTGAATGACTAGTATAGTAATTCTTGAACTACTATTATCAGTTACTAAAGGATAAGAGTATTGAATGATTTTTTTGTAGCAAGTTTAGCTTTACTCTTTTTTTAAAACTTGTTAATTCAGTAAGTTAACTTAATGTCAAAAGCTCCTGGAAAACGCGTGAATGATGATTACGAATACTTAGGTAGACAAAATGCATAAGAGATTCAAGGGATGAAAAATATTCAAATAATTCTGAAGTAGATAAACTTGATAAACTAAAAATGTTAAAACTTTTTAATTATAATATTGCATTGGTATATGAACAATATGGAGAAAAGAATTGCAACAAAAATTATTCAATTTAAACTGCTTTTCAACCGTTCTAAAACGCAATTTTTTCTCTCTATTATAATCATTTCTCATTACGTAAAATCTGATCAAGTAATGAAGTTATTATTTTATTAATACAGCAAAAATAATTGGAAATTACATCTCATAAAAAGATTATTCAACAGTAAAAAAGAATGTTTGCTTTAACTTTAGAGAAACAAATATCTCAATAAATGCAACCATTACAGGTAAATAAATTTTTTGAAATCTTAACTAATCGGTAAAATTTCTTTCTGATTTTTTCGAAAACTACGACAGTTTTTGATAGTTTTGATGATGCACATAATAAACCTAGACTTGCTAAATTACTTGGTAGATAATGTTTGTTTTTTCTGGATATAACTTATTTAAGGCTTGCGCGAAAACTGATCTGAATGATCAATCCAGTCGTTCACACGTAATTGTTCGTATTCAAATTAAAGCTGTAAATCGTACAACAAATACAATCTCTGAAAGTCAATTTTTGGGCCTTTTTATTTCAATGACTACATTACTCATTTTTGGTAGAAAATTGTAAATTTTTATACGTAATTCCATCATAGAATTGAATAATTTTGCTTTTTGTGACGTTTCTCACATTATTTATCAAAAATCATCATAAATATTAATTCATTTTATTGGATCAAATAAGTATTCATTCATTTTATTTACTTTCAAATGATTTTATTTATTTGGGTCATTTTTGTACTTCCATTTTTAAAAGGAAATCAGTAATAAAATTAGTACTAAAATATAATCATATATATTTGTATGTCTCTTTTTTCAAATAGTTTTCACTTCACAAAAGTTAATTCTTCAACGTTTCATTAAGTTCAGTTCGATTTCTTTAGGTCGATTGAATTTAGTTGATCTGGCAGGTTCTGAACGAGTAAGCCAATCTGGTGCAACAGGTCAACAGCTGAAGGAAGCACAGTGCATCAATAGGTCATTATCGGAATTGGGTAATGTTGTAACTGCTCTGCGAGAACGTCAACAGCACATCCCATTCAGGAATTCACAGTTGACTCGTTTATTAGAAGACTGCTTAAGTACGTCAGCTTTTTTAAATATCAGTTTTAACCCTTGCTTACTACAAATAAAACAATCTGTAATTTCAGATGGAGACAGCAAAACGTTGGTAGTCGTACAATTAGCGCCTGAAGCTGCTACCATTCAAGAAACTGTAAGTAGTCTTAATTTTGCAAATAAAGTAAGTAGAGTCCAAACAAGAAAAGCTAATGGCAAAAATCTGCAAGTGTGCTATGGATCCTTATCAGTTTCATCCGGTAACTCAAGGTATTGCCTTTAAAGAAGATTCTAATTTCTTGTAAATTTCAAAAATAAACAAACAAACAAATAATCTCCAGATATCCAAGCTACGAAAACTGAGGTGCGAATATTTTTTAATTTTTGATGAACTTAAAATTGTGATAGTGATTATTTCTGAACATGGTTATGGATCTTCTTTTGTTTTCATATTAAAACTAACAATAACATCACAAATTTGATTATGCATACTTGGTGTAATGCTAACTATTGGTTTCAGAATTCATCAAGACCGGAATTTTATCCGTTCAATGAGTGCTCGATCGAAAAAGTAACTGTATTAATATTGGAATCTCGATAAAATTATTGGAATTAATATTAGGAAAGCAGAAATGAAGCTGTACTTCATTAAAATGTTTTTAAATTGAGAAATATTAGTGTAATTAACCCTATTCGCATTGCTATAATCAATTCCACTAGTAGAAACCGTAACTTTTGGTGCGATAATTTTTTGAAGAAAGTTTGTTTCTCATTTATCGGCACCAAATTTTCATCATTTCTTATGGCATTTAGTGAAATATGCTTATTTTTCAAACATTCATTTGCATTACATTATTGTCACAAATGAATACATGAATAATGTAAGTGTTATCACATAGTGCATTGAGCTCAAATTTCTAAAACAAAAATTTTATTAATGTTTTTTGGCATATCATTACGGTCATCATATTGAGAACAAATAATGATAATTTTTAATAAATATTTGCAAGTAAATTATTGTAGCAATGGATATCATGGATAAAGTTGAGATGATTAAAGAACTTGTAGCAGTTTTCTTCTGACTAATTTAATGTATCAAACTTTTCTCTACCACTACCAAATAGTGTAGTAATTCCAATTCAGTCAATTAATCACATTATTCGACAGGGAGAAAACGTTGAATCACACTGTTTCAACAAACTTACAGCATTAAAGTGCATCACTTTGACTGTTTTCATCGTTGGGTTCGGCATAAGCTTTTGCAGATAACATTTCATTTTCACCCCTGCGTACGTAAAGTAATCATTCTCTCATTACATTACCATGGCGACAATATGACTGACTACTGCCTTTAACAATAAAATCACTGCAAAAATATGGAAAAACCAAACTATTTCCATGCAATTTTTTTAAATTACTATGAGTCGTACGTAGTTTTCGCGTGAACTTCCAGAAAAAATCATTGCGTAGTTTTAAAATCATAGTTTTTTCTTTTCAAGTTCATATAAACCAGTACTTTGTGGGACATTAGCGACTTCAAGATCGTAACTAAATTGAATGCAAAGGTTTAAAAGTAATCAGTTTTTCAAAATGATAAACGCAGTTCGCAATTTTTCGCAAAATTATTGCTTTTTTTGATTATATAGAAAATACTTAAATTTATAAGAGCAAAGATTGTAATGAGTTAATATTTGTGCCAGTTTGTGATAATTTTTCAATTAGGAAAAGTTAGTACTCGTAAGAATTTCACCCTGTATCATTTGTGACAGCTATCCTACAAAAAAGAGCATTTGTGTTCTTTAAACATAAGGGCATTTGTATTTTTTAAGCACATTTCAGCAAGTAAATGAATTTAAATAGTTCAAAATGGGTCTCAGCTTTGCATAAAGCTTCACTTGGTCTAAATACATTTCAAAATTGCGTATGCTTAGCTGATCTTCAAGGTGATGGAGAATACAAATTAATAATCTGTGATTTTGGCACCGAAAAATATCAAATTAAACTGAAAGTATTCCGAGCTGTACAACTTATTGATGAAAACACTCTCAGTGATTTACCAGCTTCATTGGTATCATTTTATAATGATTATGTAAGTTTCTGAATAAATTTCACGACTTCTTATTCATCTCATATATTATACAATTTTACCATGATACTTTCTGATGAATAATGTTCATCTTCTACTTCTTACCATAAGTCTGAAGTTTCTTTATTTGATCTTTCTGCAATAATTTCTTTTGATCAATGAATGCATTGTTTGTTCCTCAAATATTATGCAAATTTTCATGAAGCACCGTTACTATACTTTTCAGGCACAACCAAGCAAGCCATCTTTGGCTATAGCATGTGGTTCTGCTATTTTAATTTACAAAAATTTGAAGCCATTTTATAAGTTCATACCACCATCATTAGCTGTTAACAATGACGAAGTTGAAGCTTGGAGGCACGTTGAAGCTGGGCATATTGATACAGCACAGTTCCATGCTGTGCTGGTAAAACTGCTTCTAAAGGTTTAATTTTAAAGATCGTGAAATGAAGAATGGCGTATTTTTGAAATTAATATAATCAAACAATATGAAAACCAAAACAACTTATTCCATGGCCTTTCAAAGATCCTTTTAGAAATAAAAGTGATTATCTGAAGAAAATTTAACTCATCACTATAATCACATGGAATATCAAAAATCTAGCCATCTCGTTAATGAAAGAAAGAGAATGAAATGCTCTCAGATAAATTTTTATTATTTATATAAATTTGCTACGTTATTACAGTTTGGCATCTTAGAACTAACGAGTCGTTCACAAACATTTCTTAGCAGCAGTGATGATCGAGAAAGTGTACTTCAGCAGTGTTTCGAGAGTAAATTAGTACGTGAAAGCACAATTACTTGTATGACTACTATGAAGCGTTCAACAGCAGAACTTACTGCTATCGACTGTATTATTTTTGGTACTGAATATGGTTTTGTATATGTCATTGAAACTCAAGCATTCACGATTTTGACGCAGTGTAAAATTCAAGGAATTCCTGTATTTTTATATGCTGCAGGTGAACTATGTACTACTAAATCAGTAATAAGTTAAATAAGCTACTTAATTTAGTACGTCGCAAGTAAGATTTCAATCAAAAAATGATTACTTTGATATTAATTGACTACTAAATTGGTTACTTAATAATATACAATGATCTTAAGTAACAAACGGACACAGTAAATTATTTTAGTATGTTGGGATTATAAATGACCCATAATGATCATTAAGAAGCTTTCTTTATAAGTAAATTATGATTTACAGTGATACAGAAACTTTCAGGTATATATGAAGTAGATTATCGAATATTTGTAAGCACTCGAAATGCCGAAATTTTCAGTATCAAAAGAGAAATGAAAGTGGTACACAATGCAATAATCACAATGAAGGCAGATATCATTGGAATGGTGCGTGTTGGCAAACAGGTTGTGAAAAATTGTTACTTATATATCATGAAAAAAAAGACTGTGAAATTTGTATCCATTGATTTGTAATAAAATTGCTTCTTTCCAATATTACTAGGAAAATAAATCAAACTGCTTATTATCGAACTAATTAATAATTAATGTAATAATTATTGACCATTACATCAGTAGTTAGTGACAATTATTTGCTTGTTTCCCAAATTTATGTCATGACTGTATTGATATTCAATAATTTTTTCTCTCTTATGAACATTGCTGGTAAAAATAACAGTTTGTTCGTTAAATGTGATTCTTGTGTCCGAGACAAAATTATATTATTATTTATCCAAAAATGAGAAGCCTTTAAAATGTTTTCAAAGTCAATCAGTATGTGCCTTAAGTTGTGGAAAATGAATTGTACTTGGTCATTTCCTACAACAGCAAACTTTTTCTTTTGATAGTTCTTCGGAGATTTTAATTAGTTAATATCGCGAAATATGAATTAAAATTTGATGAATTTAGTTAGTGGTAGCTTGTAACGATGGGACAATATCATTTTATACTGCAAAGGGCAGACGACAAAGTCAAATAAAATTAACCAAAATAATCAAAGGAATTGATACTTTCATTTACGAACCTAACCAGAGCGTGGCGTTATTAGTAGCTCTTGAAAAAGAAGTAAGTTAATACTTCTTCAAAAATTTTTTAATACAATAAATACTTCATTAGTAATGCACATAAAAAACAAAATTTATTCTTGCATTGATAAACAAATATTTTCTACGGTACAGTTTGAAAAATGCATAGCATCAGCAAACAGAACTGACCTTAACAATGCTTAATATAAGGAGATGTGATAAAATTATCATTGCGATAAGCCAAATACGAAAATATGGCAATCGCACAACAATTTCACTTTACTAATTAACAAAATTAGTCTTTCTCCAAAATAATTATGGAAAAGAATAAAATATCCAGAGAACTTTTAAAATTCTTTTGCAAACTGAATTATTTTTCAAACAGCTTTAAATGATACATTTTCATGTTTTCAAACTATTCAAGATTTATTCTTAAATAATATTAGATTAGAATTTATTCCGAAACAACATTAGTCGACCAACAAAAAGTCGATAAATCTGTAAGTTGGATCAAATTTGGACATTTTGGTCGGGAAGAAGGAGCATTAATTATTGGAACAATAGGTATAAAAACTAATCAACCTTTTTGCATATTTTATTTTCACTGAAATATTTTTTGATGATGTGAAACTTTTTGTATAAATGACAATTAAGTGTGCTTATAATCAAGATATGGTATCAGTAACTTTATTATTGTTCCCAGATGGTGGTCTGATAGTGAAGCTCTTCCGTCGAACAGCCAAATTTGATGGCGCATTAGGAGAAAATAGTTTACCTCAAACACAACATTGTAAATTAAATATTCCGCGCAGAACAAGGATCTACTTAGATCAAGCAACGCGTGAACGTGAACAAGCAAGACTTATGCACCAAGTACTACTTTCTTATAATTTTTTTCCATTAAAATACAGTAAAAGGCTATTTCATATAATATGTGTTCGTTCGATGTAAACTTATGTAAATACAATTGATTCTGAATTTATTTAAGTTTCTCCGATTGAAATTCCAGATCTTCCAGCGGGATTTGTTTATGTTACGCTTGGCAACAACTAAAGCATTTGCAAATTTAACCCAAAAATCGTTAAATTCAATATTGATCAAAAAGAATGAAGCGGTTGAAATGACAGTTGATATCAATGGTTTTGGGCCTATCTTTAGATTATGTGCCAAACTTTCGACGTCATCGTAAGTCTTTTAATTTCTATTTAAGTTTGAGATCAATGATGCAAAATCGTCGTAATTAATTATGAATTTTTAATTAATTCATAATTAATTGTGCTTGCTGCGCGTCAAACAAATCTGGGATTTGAATTTACAAGCTTTATTGTAAAATAAGGTTAATTAAAGCAAACTGTAACTGTATACACGTAGTTGCTAATGTCTATAATTTAAAAGTCAGTGATCAAATGAATATAAAATTTTCAAGCTCATTCATAAAAGTGACATCATTTTTTTAAAAAGTAATTGTTTCAGGCAGTCCCCAATTCAGCATCTTGATCTGATCTTTTATTATAATCAGGAATTGTACCAGTTCGAAGATTCACTTATTGCCCTGCCTAAACTGGTACCGGGGCAGACTTATTCACATCACACAACTATATATTGCTTAAATCCACAACAAGGAATATCAGATGATGTTAGAATAGTTTTAATTAACAAAAATAAAGTAATTGTTGCTGTTGTAATTTCTATGCCTATTAGTGAAATTAGCATATTAGATTAGAGAGTTTTTTTAGTGTACAAATATAGAGCTGATTGTTCAGTTTTGAATGATGAATTTTTTTTTAATTTATTCAAAAACTAGAAGTTGTGAGAATATAATTTATATGTATATTAATAGTCTATATAACTGAATTTCATACGCTAAATTTGAATGCACTAAAATTCTTAAAAATTGGATCTCTTTTCAAAATACTCAAAGTTTTTAAATTTGAATTCCATAAAATAGTTTGTCATTTCGATTAGAGTATAAATGTTAACTGTGTTTATACTTCTAATTTTTATGATAAATTGCTTGCATTTGAGATTTTGAATTAAATTAGAATATTTATTATGGTTTTAATGAAATTTGTGCCGAAACTATACTGTGTCATAGTTATCAGTAACACAATGATGATCATAAACAACGGGCGCAAGTGTCTAATTTAAACATCAAGATATCTTGCCTTAAACTTCTAAATGAGTATTCTAATTGCTACAGCAATGAGATAAATTCACAAATGTTTGCTTGGAATCAGTCAAGTTAATGTCTAAGCTTTTGTATTTTGCAGAAGTCTTACATTTGATACTGATACGCTTAAATAATGAGTCAAAGCAGAAATTGAAGGCTGATAACTTTTTCGTTTAAATATTTCTGCGATAGATCTGACATTTCTTTTTTTAAGCTAAAATTATGAATAAAGCCAGAAAGGCAAGTATTTTTCTAGTTTAGAATTTTTATGAGCCTGTTCTGACTTCCGAATATCTTCAAAAAGGTTAAATTATAATACGATAAGTATCAGCTCAAAATCTTTCTAAATTACTGTTCAGATTAGTGATAGAAATGAAAAGTCAGTTGTTGGCTTGCATATAGATTTGCTCAATAATCATAGACCAATTAGTTCTATGCACTACTGAACAAAAATTTTTAAAGCATCACTTACTTAATAAGTGGTAATTTGGCCTTTCTCCAAATAATGTAATACTGGATATTTAGTTTATTATTGATAAGCGGGCTTCAATGTGTAATAATTTTACTAGTTGATTAAAACTTGATTCTATTAGTTAATGACTTGACTCTCATTGATTAATGACTTGAACCTCAAAAAAATGCAATAAGTTTATAGCTACTGTAATATGCTGAATTAATTTGACATCAAGTTCTGTAAGATCATGATTTCATACTTCTGTAAACTTTTGTGAAGTAAAGCATTCTGATTTTGAATTTATCCTGAAGCTCGACTTGAGAATATTTCACATATTGGACTATTTATCTACGTTTAACTTGTCAAAATCATTTATAAATGAAAATGCAACTTGTTAAAATTCTAATTGTAAGCAGAGTATACAACACAGACTTGTTAACAAGAATTAGAAAACAACAAAACAAGTTTCTGCCATTCTTTTTGTAATAAGTTGATAATATAGGAGAAAATTTGGTATTTTAATAAACATTTATTAATTAGTTTTCAAGGTGGAGCAGCACTTGCAAAAACGAATGGCACCGTTTTAAGTGCATATTTGTTTTTGATAAAAAAATTGTCTTTTATATTTCTGAACAAATTTTGAAATGGCAAGGGAATTTATCAATTAAGATGTCAAAATTTTATCTTGTTACTTATCTTATTACTTTTCTGATATGCAAAAAATTTCTTTCTTCACAAAACCTTCATAAGCTAGCTTATTTTTATCAGTTAAGACTTAAATAAATTGAAGATTATGATTGAATAATAGAAATCAGGCATTTATATTATTAGTGGCAATTGATATTTATTAACTGTAATCCAAGAAGATGAAGGACTATAAATTATTCTTCGATGTTCCGCAGGAAATGATTCATAAGAACTGCCAAAAAACAAAACTTGATTGGATTACAGTGAACAACAGCGTTTTTCCATGTTTTATAACGCATTACAATTTTCAAAACCTTTAAAAACTATATAAAAACTATTAAGTAAATCCTTTTATTATCAGTGAAAACAAAAAAAAAGGAAATGGACTTTGATCTATGGAAAGCTACTAAACTTTTGTATGGTAGATAATTGTCAAGTATATGTATACTCTTGATTTGACGACTTTGCAAATTTGATATTACTTAAAACACCATTAACCAAAATTTTTTAGTTTTAAAGTAAATTATGAAAAAATGATTTAATTTCTAATTTTTTTTCTAAAGTGAAATCGCACTGCGAATGGCAATTTTGGCATTTTTCAAGACAATTTGCATTCTTAAATTGTCAAAAATTAAGACTGCATTTCTTTTGTATAATGCTATTGACTTCGTTGTTAATTTAACTAATCAGTAATTATAAAAATTAGAATTTAAATAATACCAGAAGCAGTATTAATGAACATTTGATCTGCTACTTACAAAAATTTCAATTAAACAAGGATCATTAATGATTTCTGTAATAATAATAATCATAGTAACTGAATTATAGTTAGAGAAGAAAATAAATTCATAATATTTATTGTACATTGAACTCAATTAAATACTGATTATGATTCATTTTTCAATAGAAAATTTTTTTCTTACCTTCAAAATTCAGAAATTCTCTCTTCACTTTAGAAATTTGGGCAAAATCAGTATGATATAATCAATTAAACGTTGTTGTAGTAATTATGATTAGGATTGTTATTGAAAATAGCTGCATGAGAAACTGGAAAATTTCACTTAAGCAGTTTTGTGGAAGAAATTCATTGTTTTTCTAGACGTAATAAATTGTAATTAAGTTAGTTAAGCGGACTCTGCAACTGACTGGAAAGAGTGACAAAATTGCACTAGGCACGAACTTTTGAAAATAGTTTCAGTATTTCGCCAAAACAATCATGAAAATAATAACACAGAATTGTTGTATACATATGCAGCGTAGTTTAGCTACATTATCAGCACTTAAAATAACAATGTGGCAAAATGTTTATCAAAAATGCCACTACTGCAGCAATCACTGTGAGTGCAATTAATCAAGTATAAAAGTTGAATTTTTCATGTGCTCATTTATTATGAATAAGAGCTATGAAACAATTCAATTTTTCATTTTTTAAATGATTCCTAATGACTTCCATCTAAAATAATTTATAGATTCTGATTTACTTAAAGTACTGCAAAATTTTTGCCCTTTAATACCCACAATTTCATGCTAAATAAATAAATGAACTGACTTAGCAATCTATATTTTTTGTTCAATATGTTAAAATGCTTTTTCATTACAAAAAGCAATGTTTAAATGAAGATAATACTTTCACAAAATAAAAGAAGCAAAAACTTCATCAGTGAATATTTTCAATAACATTATAAAATAATACAATTTAAGGAGTAAAATTACTGGTCAGAGTAAGATCAAGGAGAATAAAATAGTATGAGTATGAATATTCTTGGGTCATTTGTAATCAAGATTTTTTGATGTGAAAATATACATTGTTGATAAAAAATAGCAAACCTCTTATTGAGTAAAACTGATGTAACCATCATGGCTTACTTTCCTTTGTGGCATAAGTTCATAACAGAGAACAATAATGACAAAAGTGTTACCAAAAAGGTATTTATGAAAATCAGTCAGGAGTTTGAGAATATTAATCATGATTATACAAACAAATAAATATGTTATTTATAGAAGATTATGTAGGTCAAAGGTTGATTGATGAAGGGAGCATAAAATTTGTGATTTCTGTATTATTAATTTCTATCAAGCCCTCTTACTATGAAAAGATTTGACTATATCATTTGCTCTCTGCAACGTGATATGACTACGAATTTTATAAGTGCCTAGATTAAAAAGCGATGTGTTAGGTTTCTCATAAAATCATTTGAGAAGTCAGTGTGCAAGCAAAATGAAAAGAGCTTAATAAATTTAAAAAAGCAAAAGAAAGTGGAAAAAAATGCAACAAAAAGTTTCACTTTGACAGTATCAATATAGAAATTGTTAAATAAAAACTTTTGACTTTTTGCTTATTTAACATTCAAATTTTTACCAAAGAGAATAGCATACAAAAAATAATGCGTCTAACACGTGAAAATAAAACTCTGTGACTTTTAATGATAATAAACAAGCAATAATTAAAGATTAAAAATTGTTAAACAAACGAAAAATAGTATCTCTAAGATACTGAAAAAAATTCTGAATAAATATAACTGATGAACTGAAATTATTCGTTCTTTATTGTTTTATTAAAAAGCAACTTCAGTATGAGTTACAAAATGATATGACAAAATGTGAAGATTAAGGAAGATTAACAAGCAAAACAGTAAAAAATAAGTTAAAACTGGCAACTGCTGAGTGAGAGAAATGTAAAAAAAAGGGTATTGCAACAAAAAAATTTTTTGTCTACATTAAAAATCAACAATTTACATTGCAAATAATTAATATAAGTTTTCTAAATTTTTTTTATTTTTGGAATTCACTTCCCTTCAAATTTACCTAAACAGTAAAAAGTAAACAAGCAGCAGTTGGAAATTTTCGTTTCATATCAAGTGTTCTTTTACAATTACTCTTCTCAAAAAGTCGTTGCAGTATGATTTTATTTGCACAGATCTTCAAATGTATGCAGAATTTTAAATTAACAAAGCTTCAGATATGACAATAATACTGTAAAAAATTTTTAGACAAAAAATATTGAAGCTGCTGCAGAGCTTGTAATCACTGATTTTCATTGTTACAATCCACTACTTTTCGTGACAAATTTTTTAGTTTTTGCTTTTGAAGAATTCCTTAATTTCTTTTATGAGCGCAAATTTTCAAAAGCTTTTGTAAATTCTTTTTATTCAAATTTACATAAGTAGCAACAATAAGAAAAAATTATATGTTGCAGTTGAAATTTTTTACTACACGTTTTCAAGTGTTCTTTTGTGATTAATTTGAAGAGAAAACTTGTCATAAGTTAGTTGCTATATTTATGTTTCTACTATTTTAGTACAGATGTTTATATTATTTGAAATGAGTAAATGCTTCAAGAGTTGGTTCACTTAGTTTTGTTTCTTTAGTTACCAAATTGAGTAAGTGTATTTGCTAGTTGTATTCTCTTTTCATTACTGCAGAACAAATATTTGTATATTTGTGATGCTGGTTTCCACGAAATAAGCTGATAACTGGACTTTTGTAACGTAGCTCTAACGAATGGAGCAGTAAATATTGGATGCAAATCGCTAAATGGAGCAATGATTATGATAAAACGCGATTAATCTAAGCTATTACTTAGTTTCATTGTTATGCTGAAGGTTTATTTTGGTTTCAAGTTTGAAATAAAACTTAAGAGGTACAAAAACCGCACATTTCAATATAATTAAACATAAGATTGCCAAAAGTAATGTGTCACGAAGCATCCTGACATCAATGAAATTGGATTACCATATATCACATAAATGACGCTAAAATGATTATATTTAATAATTAGTGAATGATCAGTAATAAGATGAAATAACAATTTCATTATTACCACAATTATTTAGTTGTTTTGGTATGGCTTTATTGTTATGTGTTATTATTGAATCATGTTTACTACTTACTTTGACGTTATCATTTTCAACGTCATCTTCAGGTGTAAATGCTTTGAAATTTGAGTTATTTCTGGTTGAAGACATTAATCAGTCATCTTCAAAATGTACACCAAATAATTTCTCAACAAACAATAAAGAATAAACTTGCATCAGGGAATTGTGAACGAAATTAAAATTTGAGCTGAATCTTACTTACAGCTTTTGTGTTTGCGCAATGCTTGCATTAGTAGGTGATCCAAAATATGCAAATAAATCACGGAAAAGCAAATTTTTGGCATGAAAACACTAGAAACTATTCGTATCAACGGAACAAAGGCAGTACACAAGCAGACAAACGTTATGACATTTAAATAATACAAACTGAAGATACTGTGGCCTTAGAAGTTTTTTAGATTTTATGGTGAAACAAATGTAGAACAATTTTTTGGTTCGTAAGTACTAAATGAGATTCAGGCTTTTTTTTAAAGATGTGATCTGATATAAATTTGATTTATCTTTTGATTGAACGAGTACAAAGCTTTATGAACTTTTCTAGCAATTTGTTAATCTATGCGCACCGCAAAATTCCGTTGTTTGTCATGAATAAGTTTTTTTTGGCATTAAACTTTTATTTTTGCTACTGAACTCACTTATTTTATACATATAATGGGTGTTTAAAAAATTTTAGGTTAAAAATTTAATAAATGAACGAATTAAAGTATTTTTCTTAAAACTTTTAGAACATATTGATTAACTATATATATATACATACATAAAATAAGAAATAAACACATATGTTCACATATTAATATTAAGGACTATGAGTGTGATTAACATAAGGTTGTTAACTTAATTATTAGAACTGTATCAAATATATCTCACTAAAGTAATCTTTGGTGTGGAGCCGTTTTTGTTCATGAGCATGTTTTTTTTAATTCAAATTAGAAATAGTTCACCATAGCTCTTGACCTTGAAATTCGCAATGTAATTAGTTAATCATGATTGTTGGTTCTCACAATAGAATTAATGGATAAGACTAATAAAGAGAAGTAGAATATATCTGCCTCAAAAAGAGATGAAGAAGAAGAATTTTAGCAGAACATAAATAAACTCTTCAAAAGCGGAATAAAGGTGGGGCCAATCTTGTTAGTAGTATTTTTTTCAAACAGTAAATAAGAAAAAAAAGAAGGCGTGAGGAAGACCACGTTTTAAATTAATTTCGTTTACAAAACAGGTAGAACCTTCGCTGTCATTTACTCGTATTACCTTTCTTCGGTTGAGCTCGTCAATTACTGCTTTCTGGCAGACATGTAATGAATGTTAACGTGACCGCAGACAGTTTACTGAATCAAATCAAAATATCAGCTCCATTTATCACTGTTACTGCCTAATGTCTTTTTAATAAGCAACAGATCTCTGATGTTTGGAAAAATCAGTTGTCTAATTCATAACTAGATAAAACTATTAGCCCTTTTATCACTAATTGAGGATAATTGCTGAGTTTATTTATTGCCTTTACTTACCAGGAAACTGAAACATATCTGTGATAATCTGACAATTTTCATCAACAGTCTTATTATTGTCATTATTAACGTCATTAGTATATGTTTGGTTGTGAACGTAATAATAATTATGCAGCTATTTAAGGTTAACTGATACAGTCATTATTTTGGCTAAGTTTCACAATTATGTGGATTATTATCATTTTTTTACTTTAAATTATATTTCTAAGCTTACGATTTTCAGTCTGAAGCCGAATAAATTTCATTATTGAAGTTCATAATAATTACATTTAATGATATGAATTTATCTTTCACATTAAAGCCTTTATCTTTTATTACTGATGATAGATTATGCCATTATCATTATTGATAATGGCATATTATTAGAATAGTATCTTAAAAATCAAAAATAATATCTGCCTTGCACTGGTCATGACTACGCATTAACATTACGATTTTTATTTAATCTTTTATACACAACTGTTTTAAATATATCTAACTTTTTTTAAATAACTCAACTTTACTGCAGAAACTATCACCGTAATTTCTAATAAAATAATCCAATACATAAAATGCATCACTTCCAACTTTATATTTTTTCTTTTGTTTCTTATAAATGAACATAGTGTTTATCAAAAACATGATTATCACAATATGAGAATGTTTCTGCCAGCGGAAAACAGTATGGTGCTAAGTTATTCTAATTTTGCTTCTTTTTAAATTTTTTGTACAAAATAAAGTGCAAAGAGTACTTATAAAAGGTCACATTTATAGAAATACGTTTGTAATAAACAGCAGCCTGAACATTATTGTCATCACTATTGACATCATTTTTTGTTCAATCTAATCTTCGACTGATTTTGAATGATTTTAGATATTTTCAAGGCTAAAAAAGTGTCCTGTTTGCTTTCAGATAATTCATTCACAGCAAACAACAATCAAGATTAAACTGCGAATCATTAGATTCATTTACTGAATTGACAGACAAAATTTTTGGTCGCAATTAAATCTGTGGGCAATTCTGAAATTCTAAGGAATACTATTCTTATAAAACGAAAAAATGTAATATTATTTTAATAAAAAATTCACCTCAAGAAACAAGATTTTTCAGGAGCTCTTGACAAAATAATATTTCATTTTTGCCTCTCATTTCACGACGAAAAATATTGCAAGGAATTTTTTGAAGTACTACAAATTATGTTATTGCACTACTCAACTGATACGCTGATTAATTTATCACTTATTGTTTTACTTTCTATCATAACAAGTCAGTAATTTATCATTGCTTATTTAAATAGATTTTTTTTTAAATGATCGTACTTGCTTTTCATCAGAAAAAATTTTAACTCAACGAGTTTTTAGTTTATAGCCTGGTTTTAATAAACAGTGATTCAGTTATTTCCGGTAACAAACTAAGAAATAGTTTGAGTTTATTCAAGTCATATATAACTTTACAGAAATCAAGAGAAAAAAATGTAATATCTAAAATAATTTTTGTTATTCACTTCTAAATCTTATCAAACATTACATTTAATGATATTACACTTATTCAAAGTATTAAAAATTGATTACTAGAATCATAGGTGTAATTTGAAAATCTTTTAAGTGATTCTTTTTACGAAACTAAATTTGGTTACATAGACTAAAAAATTCATTATCTATTTATTTGAGTAATTTGATAATAATTTAGCAGTCAGTGGAGATGACGAGAATCTTATAACAGAACGTTTCAAATGTATCAGTGGCTGTTGTGATCAACACGAATGGTGTCGATTTTGGGCATCTGTTGGAGAATGTGCAGCTAATCGAAACTGGATGGAAGATAACTGCCAGTTAGCTTGTAATACGTGCCAAAAAGAAACAGGTTAGTTGACCGTAACTTGTTTATTTCAATGATTTTTCTGAATTCTCATAACTGAATACATGAATATTCGTCTAAAATGTCATTGTATGAGTACAAATAGATGATTGAATACCCTGCGTAGTCTAAATACATTTTAGTTTCATGTCTTAAAATTATGGCCAGATATTGAATTTTTAATTTTTAAAAGCAGATTTCAAAAATTTAAGTTTGTCATCATAACATTCATCAGAAACTACAAGTATTATGCATACAAGTTATGCATATATTACATGTGTTCTTGGTGCAGCAATTAAAAATTAAACGAGCAAAAATGTGGATTCTTAGAACGAAAAATTAAGACTAAGAAGCATTGTTTTGGACTTAAAAGAAATTTTAAATGAGGCATTTTTTTGCGAAAATTTTAGTTTTGCAGCTAAAACTATTGCATAAAATAAATTGGGCAAGTTACGCGATTAAAAGTCAATAACTATTAATACTGAATGATCGTAAAATGAACAGTTTATAATCTAAGACTATACTTATCGCGATAGTATGCGCAATTATTGCAGCCTTGTGATGCTTCAAAAGCTTTTTCCTCAGACATTTGCACGCTATAGAATAACTACTACAAAATAATGTTGTCTAAAAATATTTGGCATTTATTGTTTTGTAATAAGCTTTTGACAATTATTTTGTGATACTTAAATGAAAGATATTTAAGTGATAACCAATAATAATAATAGTTAAAGCAATCTTTTTATAAAATTTTTATAAAATAAAGATTTTTACTGCAAGATTTTGTGATGACTGAGCGGAAAAAATTCAATATGAAGTCCAGCAATAATATTTCGAATACGAAAATAATGCAGAAACAGTACTTATGTTAGAATAACAAGATCCCTAGTTTAGCACTGACAACGACGACAGTAAGATATAATAATGACAGGAACTTGAAGAATTTGAAAGTAATTATAGACACGCCGTTTTTCAAGTAGTTAGCACAAAACAGTTAATGAAAATTAAGAATTTCCAATCTTCGAAAAGTGCTAAAATAAACTTACTAATATCTGCTAGTGTATCTGTGCTGTTTTCATCTGTATATTTACAGACAAAAACAGCATTTCCTAACTAAAGCAGTGTGTTCATTTATTTCATTTTTTCCTAGTCTTGCGTTCTGATTGATGTCATCCAATCCAGTTTCATTTTCTTCTGCAGTTTTGAAAAAATTTAAAATAGCTTTTTTTAAACTATTGGTATTTTGAGTAGAAAATTTAGTTTTCTCTTTTTATGAAAAAATGCTAGAACTTATTAGTTAAAATATTTCTTACCCACTATTTTCTTGAACTGCCTTTTATTTTAACTTCATTATTTTTGTCATTTTATCATAAATTTTGTCCTTGCATAGTTAAAATTTTTAACTTGTTGAGTAATAAATTTAAATTTTACGATAAAAACTAAAAATGGACGACGAAAAACAACGCAGATTGATAGAACAGATATTATTTCTTATCATTAATAGTAATTTTTTAGTGATCACTTTGTAAACATATGCTGCCATTTGAATAATCAAACTTTGTGATAATGTAATGGAAGATGATAATTGTGACTTTTGAGATGGGAAAAGTTCAAGAAGCTCAAAAATCATATTTTTTCTAAAATGAAAGTTAAAAATTCGTAAAAAGTCCAGGAAGTTGAAGAATCATGAGTGAGAATTGAAATTTTCATCTGGAAACAAGGAAATTGCTTCTTGCTGTGACAAAAATCGCTGCAGTTTTTAACGAGATAATAAATCGTGTTTAATCGAATCTTCTATGAAATAATTCATATAACAGCAAAATACAAGCAATAATATCATGTTTTTCTTTTCCCATTACTTTTCTATGTTAATTGTTTTCCAAATATGTGTCATGTTCTTGTCCACAATTCAATTAGAATCAAAGAAATTATTGCCATTCGGAAATAATTTTCATCTTGATTAGATCAAAAAACGTATAAATCCATTTTCACTCCGTCCTTCGATCAAAATAAAATGAATAATTTAAATGCTTATCTACCATTAAAAAACTTTACGTGGCACTTGATCTTCTTCCTCATCTATGAAATATTTTGTTGAACTAAGAAAAAAGGAAATGCCAAGCTGTAGTTTTTCTACATTGAAAGTTTATTCAAAATTGGAAGTTACAAACTTCTGATGACAATATTATTCTGTAGGAATTTGATACATTTTTATTCAGGAAACTGAGATTGAAAACGGTTTCTAACAAAGAGACTAATTCACTTTCACCTATTTTAAGGCATACAATTATTTTTTCATTTTTATAATCCTATATTATCAAAAAATTTCTACAAGTCGCAGTAATCATAATAATTCGTTTAAAAATATAGTGTTGCGATTACTCGAATCACTAAAACGATAACAGTCATACTGATAAAGTAAGTCATCATAAATTAGTTGCTGAAAATTATCGCAGTAACTTTTGATGAAAATTAAGAATACAAACACCAATACAGCAGCCATGTTAGATGTTCCAAAAAAAAATTTGCTCGTTAATTTTTAACAATTATCAAATTATATGAATAAGAATTCTAACTATTCAGTATTACATTACCATATTTTTCAGAGTTTTTACTTTTCATTGCATTTTAAAATTATTCCCTTGATGGTTCATGTCATTTTTCAGGTTATTTTTAGTGCAACAAACTTAAAAAAAAAAACTACTTTCATTATAAAAACTAGCTCCCTTTCTTGCATTAGCATATCTAAACATAATTAATTTCTGCCTGAAGGCATTAGTAAAGAAGTTCCATTGATTTGTAACCAATGTTTTTTACTAAATTCACATAAATTTTCAAGGTTCTGAAGCTAATCAAATTAATCTCTCTGAAACATTTCATCTAAAAATTTTGCTGAAAAATATTTATTCATAACCATTGTAACTGAGACAAACAAAAATATTAGCGGAAAATTTGATCTAAAAGTAAAAAAATTAGTCCTTCATGTTCTTGTGAGTCACAAATTTATTAATTTGTCAGGTGGATTAATTTTTTAATGGCTCAAATTTATAGTCTTTTTATGTCATTTCAAGTCAAATTTTCAATTTTTAGTGTTTTTAATGCTCAATAATGGACTGCATTCAAAAACATATTCAGTTTGAGATTTTAGAAACATGAAGCAAATCTTTAACACAAAACTAATTTTTTGTCTCCATATTTTTATTAATGATCAAAAATTTTAAATGCATAAAAAAAGGCTACAAGTGCAGCTTATAACTTGCTTTTTTGAATTTTATTTTTTATTACTTTATTACGGTAGAAAGTACAGCAGTACTTTACCATAAATTAATAATTTAAATTAATTTAAAATTAAATTTCGAGTTCTTATTTATTTTAATGGTAGATCGAATAATTACGAAGAATTCAAAATTACAATCAAGTCAATATGACTGTGCAGAGAATAATCATTCAAAGGCACATTATATAATAAATAGTAGTTCAAAATGCCGAAGAACAATATAGAAAGGGCATGTTAATTATTAATTCCTGACAAATACATACCTCATCAACGTTCATATTAGTTTAGATGGAATAAAATAATCTTAAATTTTGCACGAAGATAATTAATCAGTGCTCACTAATTGAACTTTAAATGAAAATATTTTTTATTATATGAGAACAAATTATTAATTCTTAGTTTAAAATCAGTAACTTTACAATCTTACTTTCAAAGGAAAATAAAAAGGCAGTACAACGACTAATTTAATTGAAGTGTGAAGTATAAGCTTTACATTTTATTTTAACTGCGTTGCTACTTTCATATTGCCCTATCTGTGTAAGATAAAATAAAGTCATTAAGAAATCTCGAAACTTAGAAATTATCGCACTATATATATACTCTTATAATTATTCAGAATAATCATTTACGTCATTAGAGTATACAATCTTTCAGATTAAATATTATCAAAAAAATTGAGATAATCTTTGAAATGTTTACTTTGAAACATTGAATACTTTTTAATAACTCTTCTTACTTTGTAGCTGTGAAAATGAATTACCTTTGTTATGCATCCTTCATCACAATCTTTGCTTTGTTCCATTTTTTAACAACATAATTACTCATTTTTCCAAGTTTCAGTGTTAAATAATGCTATATTGATCAAATTTTATGAAGTAAAAGACATCAGAAGTTATTGAAAGGTACTTACTGTTTCACAGTGAATCATCTTTCAATGCATTTTTTTAGTTCAAAATTTTGGAAGTTTTGCTTGATATCATCAAACTTTGTATTCAAATAAAATTTAATAATGACAATAATAAGCATAACTTTGCTGACAGTTGTCATAATAGAATACAATTTTTACTAGGAACTTAAAAGACATCGATTTTCATTACATAAATTTAATACTGAAATATTATTATAATGGATGTGCACTGAGATGAAATTTGAAGCATTTTTCAACTGCGCAAGTTCTAGGTCACTTGCATATTTTTGGTTTGCATGAAAACTTCTATTCCATTTGCTTGAAAAGTACTTTACTTCAATTTTTCTGGAAATATAGCATTGCTTTAATTACTATTGAAATTTTTTAAATAAATATGACTATTGTTAGCAATATCTGTTGAGAAATAATTTCTACAATTTTCAAAAATTTTGATCATTCAGGTTTTGCTTAGTCAGTTCGCGGTCACTGTGAATGTTACGAACTTCTTGTTGTAAATATTACTATTTCAGTGGAAATTTTAAAGAGGCAAAGTTATTGATTACTACGAAAAATTTATTTAGAGAACTTGGAGTTGGTCAATACTGAATAATTTGCCGATTACTGAAAAATGAACATTTCGATTACAAATCGCAGAAATAATTAGAAACAGATCTCATAAGGCATCTTTTGAAAGTATTAGAAATATTCGAAGCCTTAATGTTAATTAGTAACTATCTGCTGGCACTGGCAAGTAGCAATACTGATTCGAATTAATGAAAAACGCATGGCATGGCATTCATTATATTTTGTGATGCCCGAATTTTTGAAATTTAACTAAAAATTTTTTTCGAAATCCTAATTGCAGTTTTCTGAAAATAATGGTTGGTAAGCATAATTAATGCGTTGCATATAATTATTTCTGATTAAATTAGTAGAAAATTCAAAATGTAAGATAACTTCACTCAATGAATGTTGCGTAATATTTCAATGAAACATTATATAATGAAATTCTGGAAGTTATTCATGCCAATGAAATTTTTCAACAGAGTTTAAATAATAAGTTCTAATAAACTCAAAATTACTAATATGAATTCACTAAGCATAATTTGCAGCTGTTTCGTTCAGTGAAAATTTTTCAGCACTACTTCGAAACGCAGGACGAAGTCGTCATCGACTGTTATCAACAAGCAGAACTCGTCATCCCTCTGATTTATCCAAAAAGTTGGCAAGACGCCGTAATAAAAGCCTTAAAAAGCGGTATTGATTATTATAATTCGTTTTTTTCATTTTTTGTAATTGAAATAGGATGATTTTTTGAGTTCAGATTCTTTAAAAATTGAAATGTTGCCATTCTGTATTTATTTGACTTGATGCTAATGTGCTTTGGTCACTTTGAATTTGACAGTAAAATTCACTCTGCTATGCCGAATAATTTTTTTATCATCTTACACGTTTCATACCCTCATCAAAAAATCGACGGACACGACCAGCTAGCGGCACTTTTGCTTCTCCAAAAGTCATTCCATCTACTGTCATTCCGTCTACACGCCGCTTAACAGCTTTTGAACGCTGTAAGCAAATTCAAGCAAATCCAGCACTGTCAGCAGAAACTTTATTCCATGAACGGCTTATTTTTCCTGTCGAAGGTCACTTGACACGTTTGAAATTTTTTTACCACTCATTAACTTTATTTTTTCTTTTTGAAATACATCAAACTCATTAAGTGTCTTGATAAAAGTTTTTTGTAAATTAGGACAGGATCTTACTCAATCGAATTGATTTATTATGATTTGGTTAAAAAATTAGACATGTCGAACATATAAAAATCAGTAGATAATGTATGTAGTATTGCCATTTTGAGCTATTATTATTTCTTCTAATTGCTAGTTTATGCTTAAAAGTGCAGTATGTTATTGCAGTTGATGAAAGAGCACACAAAAATATGCTTGCTAATTTTTCTGTTCTCTCTCTATTTTCAAGTAAGTAAAGGATCGCAGTAGCAATCAAAAAATTATTATTACCGCAAGAACTCATTTTTCATATTGAACCAGATTAACTGATATTGTCAATGCTTTTTGTTGTACTCTGTCACTTTTACTGAATAATAGCAACTAAAGAATTTCTGCTAGCATCATATCATTGTAATTTTCATGCTTTAAAATGTAGAAGGAAACCATTACTGCAATAAAAATTTTAGTAATGAGAGAAGAAAATAATTTGTTTCGTTTTATGTGGCTTTTTATGATGCAGCGAAAAGTATAATATACGCAAGTCATATCAGTAAGTAGACAAGCATTAATAAATACAAAAAAATTGATGAATGAAAATGTTTAGATCCTTTAAACTAGAGTTGAAGTTCAGATTGTCTAAATTTTATGCAACTAGATCATCAATTATCATTCTTTGTATGCTTATCACACTTTCATCGCATCATAAATCATAACATTCATTTGATTCCTAGTTAAATTCTAAAACCACAACCATTAGAATTAAATCAAGTACAATCTTTTTATAATTTCAATCTATATCGTGCTAACGCAGCAAATTTTTTATCCATTGCAAATTCTACTTACTGATATAACTTGCGTATATTATACTTTTTGCTGAATTATAGTGAATATCATTAGTTACAATCATTATAACTATAATTCGATCGCTGCAAAATGTAGCGTACAATAAAATAGGTCAAATAAGTTTCTGTAAGTTATTTCAGATTTGTCAGGTCGACAACCGCTGACCCAAGAAGAAGTGGTGAGATCAAATATTGCTTTCGCATGTGTCCCACGACTAGATGAAGCTGAATGTGAGCGTTCACTATGTTATAATTTATATTATCGCACAATGGATGGAACTTGTAATAATTTCAATCGGCCTTTACGTGGAGCTGCATTTCGACCTTATAACAGGTGAAATATGTCATGTACCTTCATACGTGCTTCGATCTTCTACACTTTTAATCAGTGCTGCTCCTCAAATAACATTAAGCGCATCATTAATAAAATCTGAAAAAATCTTCAATTTGTTCAAATTCCAAAGAAACAAGGTTGATACTGCTTACATGGAAAGCCAAAAATATGATGGCAATAAGGATAAGGCAATTGTAAGCAAACCACAATAAAATAAGGTTAATAATGTATTAATGGTTCCACAAAGTTGTCCTGCGTTTTTTTTTCACTCATATTTACTCAAATTTATTATTTGCAATTTTTTTGCATTTTTTTTTGAGTTACTGTCAATCAAATTTGGTTTAAAAGCCATTTCCCTTAGAAAAAAAATTAGAACATGACAGTAAGTATTATTCAATAGAAATAAATAGAAATAATTATAAGTAATTTTTTGTAACTAAATAAACCCATCCTATGATTTATTCTTTTTCAGACTATTACCACCGGAATATGACGATTCACTTTCCGAACCAGTTGGTAGGTTCAACAGTTATTTTTCAAGTTGGGGAATTTTTGCTGTGTTTGTTTAAAAAAGATTTAACTTAATTCGATGGCACCAAACATCTAACTTACGAAACTGATAACACGTAACTGAAAATTAATTTTCAACTATTAAATAAATGAACAAGTTATTACTCTTTGTTGATGAAAGTTCAGATCATAACAAAAAATACAAAATATTGATGCTGATTCAGGTTCAATGCTACCACTACGACCAAATGCTCGGGAAGCTAGTCGTTTACTACTCTCATCACGAAAATCAGTACAGCATCCCGAATTCAATGCTTTGTTAATGCAGTGGGGACAATATTTGATCCATGAAATGGCCAAGACTACATTAGTCCCATCAGCAAAATGTAATGTCTGTCAAAATATTCAAGGACGTTGCATGAGAGTACCAGTTCAAGTTAAAGATCCTAACAAGAAGTTAGTGTTTTTTATAAGCAGAAATATTATTGTATAATTCTTAGCATTACATCTACCGTAACCATAATAACGATTTGTTTATATTCGTATTACTGTTAATCACATTATTCTTTCAGTTTTCGATCTAATAAATGTATCCGAGTCTCTCGATCTAGTGCAATTTGTGGCTCGGGAAACAAAAAACCACGACAACAACTTAATGAAAATACAAACTTTATTGATGGGTCACCTATTTATGGATCAAGTGTTGGAGTAAGTTACATTCTATCTTAAACTGTTAAGGCAACTAAAATTAATGAGCAGAAGTAAAAAAATTAAAACTTTCCAAATGTTTGAATTTAAATTAATAAAGGTAATCAGTGGCGTATGTAGGTGATAATGAGGCGAAATTGGGAATAGAATTTGTCAATTCTTTGATAATTTTGCAAACTTCCTGCAGTAGAAGTCGAAAATTTTCAAGTAACTGACTAGTTTGAGTTCTAAGATACCAATTTTCAAGTCTGCTACAATGAATTACCAAAATGAAAAACTCTGATATCATGCTAAAGAACAAAGATAAGAAAATTGCAATTTTGTGACTGATGAATTTGCACCATATTTTGTAGGATTTGCACAAATTTCGAGATGGTAGAACAGGTTTTTTGAAGACGCAGGTTTTCAATGGATTAAAGTTACTTCCATTTGACACAAGTAAATGTCAAAGCCCAATTTCTTGTTCAGCAATTTTCATAGCTGGAGACAGTCGCGTAAACTTATTTGTGGGCCTTTCTTCCATTCATATAATCTTGTCAAGAGAACATAATCGGTATAATTTAAATGTTACTAATTAAAGCCAAAGAAGAAAATGACTAATTAATTTCCAATGATCCTTTTCAAACATGTAATGAATAATGTAAAAAATATATCAATATTTCTGTCAATTACCATAAACCGCAAAAACAGTGATCCACTGTAAATGAGTATTAGAATGGAAATATCGCTTATTTTTGTAAATTATTGACTTGCTAATATCTGACAGCATAACATTCACTATCAATGAGGCAGTATAAGTAAATTCAGTATTATTAAAAACAATTTAATTTCACGCACCAAAATGTTTTTTATGCAAAGAAGCCGAATTGAAACACAATAAGTTCAGCTACTGAAATCAAAGTGTTAGCCATACAAAGCTTTTACAACGAAAAAAGAACCTGTGCAATTTCTCTAGATAAATTATCATTTCAAATCATTCGCATACTTTGGGGTACCATTACTAAACGTAGTGCGGATTAAGTTAAATAATCACTCGTCTATGCGAGAGAGCTAGCTTTTCACAATTTAATTTACATTGGTATGCTGGCTCTTTGAATTACCTAGTGACATGGCAAAGCCTGTTTATTGAATCAGTTCAAAAAGCACAATCCGGTGTACTCAACCTAAAATATTTGAATAATTCGTCATATCAATGATTCGAAATGATAATTACCAAATACTTTGAGATGTTAACGGAAATTGATCAAAACTGTACAAATATAAATATGCAAATTAAATAATAAATGTGTAAAACAAATGTACAAACTACAATAATTAGTTTAACTTTGGAGTTTTCCCCCAATTTAAATTAATTCATCTTAACTTTTTTGATTCAGAAAAGGGCTAAAGTGAATTCATTTTATTTTATTTACTGAAATTACCAAGTAGGTTCATTTACATATTTTATCAGTTATATCTCACTCTGAACTTTTGATTATTGATTAACGCTCAGTTTTTTAAAAAGTATTTCTTGAACTGTGAGTTAATAAATTATTGATAGTGCCAATTGAATCCTTCATCTTTTTTCCGTCATCTATCATTAGTCCAAAGATTCAATCTTCGAGTATTTTTTAACAAGGAATTAGCAAATCCTAAATTGCAAAAGTGCCCTTGTCTTCATATAGTCAAAAGTTAATTTGTTATTAGCTTGGTTACTGCACTGCAAAAATTAAATCCACACTGGAATGGAGACCGACTATTTATGGAAGCTCGAAAAATTGTTGGTGCTGAAATTCAAGCCATAACTTATAGGTCTGATTGATTTAAATTAACTGATTTTTTAAATATGACGCCAAACTTCGTAATATTAGTGTAATATCTGGTCATATAAAGACATAAGAATGCACTTTTGATAATGACCAAACTAAAATTTTTTGAGCAGTTATAATTATTTTTCTCTAAATACCAAAATTTTTGCTGCATTATGTCAGCTTTACAAATTTTTAAGACGACTTGTTAACAAATATGAATTCAGATTGTCTGCTATTTATTAAAAGCTTTTAGATAAGCCTCTTTAATTTTAAGAGAATACTTGCCAAAAATTCTGGGCAGTGCTTTTGTAACAACAATTGGAGAATATCATGGTTACGATCCAAATGTTGATCCAACTTTAACTAATGAATTCAACTCCGCTGCTTTTCGTTTTGGTCATGGAATGATTCAAGTATATAAATTAACAATCATAACCAAAAATATTTAAGTTGTACGCAGTCATATTGTTTTCAGTACAGTAATAATAATACATAATTTTTATTCACTTAATTTCTTTTTCTGAAAATACAGTCTTTAAAAATTCCCATCTATTTATTGTGTTTGTTTTTTACAACTATAAGAAACAAGATTTTCTGTAATCCTTTAATCAGAATGATTTGATGAGTTTTGATAGAGCATTGAAGTTTGCTATCAACGGATACTAATTTTTTGCAGACTAAAAGTTCAAAATGAATTTTGGATTTGCTTTCAGGAAATATATCCACGTCTAGATCGTAATTTCCATAATCTTTCTCTTAGTAGCTTCTCATTTGTGCATGGTACACAGCATTCTGACCTTTTGATATTTGGTGTATGTTTATTTTTGATTTTCATATAGTTTCTTAAAAAACGTTTTAAAATTTACTCATATATTTAAAACTAACTTTGTTTATTATGCTGAATGTAAATTTAACTTGATGGGTATCAACATCAACACCGCAGAATTATGTAATTTATGCAATCCTTTTTACATATCTTTAATATTGCAGGGTGGTGTTGATCCCATTCTGCGAGGTATGATGATGTTACCAGTAAAACGATCACAGCGGCTTACGAAAGCAATTACAGAAAATTTATTTGGTAGTACTGATCTTGGTACTATCAATATACAACGTGGTCGTGATCATGGTTTACCCCCTTATGTGAAATTCCGCACACTTTGTGGACTTCGATCAGCTACAACTTTTGATCACGTTTGTTATCGCTCTTTCTAAGTCTGTGATAAGATTTCGATGACGCTTTTCATTTTTTATTCGATCTTGAAATTATGTCTCAAAATTGTTGAAAAATCCATGATTATTTCAAGTTGTTTAAAATCTTAAAAAATTTACTCCACATTTTGAATCACACACAAAAATGATAAAACTTTATGGATAATTTTAAAAATAATGGATGCAGTGAAGAAAGTTTAAAAAAGTATTGGAAAAACCTCACTGGATAACAAAATTACATATTAAAAAATTAAAGGATGACCTGAATAATGTGAAATATTATGTACTCGATTATACTTAGTTCAGAAACAAACTTTTTCTGTTTCATATGAGTTGCAGTTTTGCAACGATTGCTTTTGTTTGAATTTCAGTTTTCACGTGAAATTATGGGTGCGAGAATACGAGCTAGACTTAAACAAGTTTATGGTAGACCAGGTAAAACGATCATCAGTATCTTAAAAACGACTTAAAATCAGATGCTTTTATATTTAATGCAGTTGATTTAGTTGATAAAAAACAGAAAATGAATATTGTTTTCGCAGTTTTGGTCCAGTTATTAGCGTGCTATTTTTATCTAACAAAAATTAATGCAACTTAATGACAATAATCAATCACTTGATGCATGAAACATCTTTTAAAGAGAAATTTACATTAAATAACACTGCTCTTATAAGAATTTATATTTGTTACTGCTACGTCAGAAAACCGATTATACTCTAAAAAATAATCACTAGGCATTTTGTATTGCTTTTTGTTGAATCAAAATTCTGAAAACTTGAAAAAAATAGTTTTATAATTAATGTTATCAATTATAGATAGAGTAGATTTGTACGTTGGTGGGTTATTAGAAGATCCTGTGGTAAGAGGTTTTGTTGGACCCACTTTTGCATGTATTATTGGACCTCAATTTCAAAGAATACGAGATGGCGACCGGTAAAATTTGATTGAGAATGAGTGTTATAATTGTTGTCATTCAGTTATCAGCTTGTAGGCTCACTTGTTTTTAGTTTGTGCCAGAAGATTAAATGTAGCATTACTTAATGAATTATGGAAATAGAAATATTATATAACTCTGGAAACCTTATCCTTTTTTACGGACATTGAATTTTAAACACATCATATCAATTTCAAAGTTACGTAAAATTTCAGATTTTATTACGAGAATCCAGGAGTCTTTACACGAGCACAACTAGCAGAAATTCGAAAAAGCAGTCTAGCACGCTTATTATGTGATAATGGTGATAATATGGATACAGTCCCACGAGATGCATTTCGAATAGGTAGAATCACATCTTGTAGCCAAATTCCCCAAATGGATCTGACGAAATGGGAAGAATGATAATGAGAAACATGAGCAACTGATAACCTGATCTCGGCTTCAGAATTTCAAATATTTTTGCAACTAGTAATCAAACTTAGAAGAAATATAGGATTCACTTTAAAAATAATGTATGAACATGGAATCGATAGAAATTTAGAAATGTTCTGCTTACTTTTGAAAATACATCAGGTAATGCTTAATTCAAAGTTCTGCTAATAATCTGCATTCGAGAACTTATTAATCAATGAATTTTGCAACGTGATAGGATTAAGGCAAATCAAAAATTTTTCTTTTATTGATTTTGGTAAAAAGTATGTTAATCTTGTATGATAGAGAAAATCGCTAAGTCATTCTAATTAAAACCTAACAAAGAATCCTCGAGATATTTTTTTCTGTTTTCAGCAACGGGTTATCATGCCTTAGCAAGTAATAATTTCTTTTATTAAAATAATAAGGGAGCAGAACTTCTGTAATATTTATCTCTTTATAAAAGTTGTCTTTTAAAGTTTTATTTTACTTAATGTTTTTTAAGTTTTTTGATAATCTTCTTACTATAATAATTACAAGCAAAATGAAACTTTACATTTTCCGAATTTCCAATGACAATTTTAAATCTTAACCATTGTAAACTGATGTTTGACTTGATTTGAGCTATCGATGTAATTATTGTTATCGTAATTACTGCCGAGATGATTTTCTAAGTATGTCGTTAACTTTATCATTCAAATTATATTCTTTCTCGATATGTTAATAAACACAACCGATGATACCTTAAGCTCAATATAGCAATTTTTAAGTATTAAATTGATTATTCCAAGAAATAGAGTCATATTATAATTTGAACTAAAAGAATTTTCTGACAAATGATAATACAGTATTTAAAAGACTATGCAAGTAAATTCTGGAAATCTGAAATGAATAATTTAGGGATAACAAGATTACTTTATATTTTTGTACAATAAAGTCAGTCTAATTCACTATTTTATCCTGAAGTATCCAAAAAATTTTTTCCGAAAAATTTGAAGTAGCAATAAGATGATCCAATTAAAATTTAAATAGACTTTTCATTGTTCGAAATTTTTTGACACATGACTGTTCAAATTTTAGCTTCAAAAATCAAAGATAAATGTAAAACAGAGGTACACACACATGAAGTGCAACTGCTATTACTTGAAAAAGATGTATGAATATGTTGTTTCAATATTTTGTCCTCACACCTCAGTGCATCATTACTATACGTAATGTAAATTAAGCTACGCTATCACTCGTTTACGTGAGCAATTGATAGCTTTTAATATCTCATTTATGTAAAACTGCTGGTTCTTTTGATTACTCTCTGGCACGGAATAAGCTTATTCACTAAATAAATTCAGATTACCACAATTCATTGCACTTCATTCAGTCTATTTGTTTTGTAGTAAATCATCCATTTCATTCCAAAATCGTTTTATACAACACTTTTGTGCAAAAGAGTTTTGACGACTTCAGCTTTATAAACTGTGTTTTAAAGCTAAATTTCAAATTTTATATTTGTATGAATCAGATATTCATTTCAGGAAGCCTTTTTTGATAAAATATAATTTGGAATTTTGTTTATTTAAATGATAAAAATTAGCTGAAAATTGTTAATATTGCTCAATGCTTGATTAACTGAACTGCATCATTGATGAAAGGTATTGAAAGCACAGTCAAAACTGTTATCAGAACTTAACTCATGCTGAGCGAAGATTGAAGCACTCCTAAAATTAGCGCAATATTTGTGCGTGACTTGAAAATTGCGCCCCCACCCCCATCAATCAACTTTTTGGAGGAAAAAATCAGTACTAATTTTTATTTTAAAACTTATCATTAAATGCCATTTGAATACTTAATGGTTTTTGTAACGATATTGAATCGTTTTGCAAACAGATTATTGCTAATGAAATATAAAATAACCAATACATGAATCGCTTTTGACGTTTAATTTTCAGTGCACTCACTTTTTCATCTTGCATACTGATATATTTTTGTACAAAGTAGTAGTTGGTTCGTTTGCAAATATTTGCTGATTCTCTTACTTACCATCAAAAATAAAAAACTCAAAGTGTTTTAGATTGCTCATACTTCTTGATAAAAAGTTCAAAAAGATTTACATAATTCTTTGTTCACCACAACTCTTCATAATAAAATAATATTTCACAAGCAATCTTTATTTTATCTAGTCCTTTTTTTTAAAAAAAAAGTTAATTCTCTTATCTACGATTAATTTCTGATCTTCATGTAGTGACTTTTATTTTTTTAATGTTCGCTATTGCAATAAACTAATGAAAATATAAAAAAAGAATAAAATAAATTGGAAGTATTTCTCACTTCAAAATTTTTAGCGCACTTGTTTTGTCTCAATTTAATACTACTGATGCTTTCATTGTTAAATGTTTGGTTTTTTAATGAAATAAAATATGTTTTTATTTCATTCCTGTTAATATATTGTTTGAAAAGCCATTTGTCCATTACAAAGATGATAGTAATATCAAGTTAAGACTGTTATTTTATTAAAATTAAACAGAATATTTGAAAATTGTTTTAGTTATTTTGTAAAAGAATTTAAATTTTTTCAATATTTGAAATCATGATAAGAGCATTGTTGCGCATTTCAATTCATATTTGAGTAAAAACTCGTTTCGTTATTTTGCATACCTTACCTTATGTAAGTTAGCATTTCAAAATGGCGACTTACGAATACTGAAATGAAATGCTCCACTTCGTATTTCCGCTAGAATTAAAATTTAAATTGCTATAAGATCATGAAGTAATCGTTTTTACGAAGTTTATACAGAAGTTGGAGTCAAAAGAGCAGTTCTAACATGGCACTTCGATCAACTTTGATTGTTTTTCCACTTCTTTTGGCCACATCAATGCTATCCAAATTGCAAGAGTAGTTTGTTTTAATCAATCTAAAATTATGCAATAGAAAACGATGCTTATTTGGCATATTCTTTACCGAAATATTGATTTCATAATAACAATAAATGCTCATCACAAAACTGACTTCAGATATTTCAATAAAATTCTCATATTTGAATGACATCATTAAGAATTTTTATGTTGACAATTTAGCTTACAATAATGATGACTATTGAAACTGTAGTACCATATTCTAGTCAGCGCGAATAACATAGTAGTACAATATAGAAACTGTTATCAATTTCAGTTATTTTAATGTTTTGTTTCAAGTTTTGGAAATAAACATTAATGTTTGTCACAAATTTTTCTTATTTTCTATCCAAATTCCAAACAATAAATTAAAATTTTCGGAACAGGAAAAATGCATCATAAAATTATAGACAGTCAGCTGAACACAACGTTGATTATGATGAGCCACAAACGTTGTTCAACAAACAAGTAATGGTGCATTTATTTGAATGGAAATGGACTGATGTAGCCAAAGAGTGCGAGGAATTTCTGCAGCATTACGGTTATGGGGCTGTGCAGGTCATTTGCTGCGCTACACTCAATAATTTAAATTAGAAAATTTAAAATTAAGACGCATCGCAAGTGACAGCTTATTTTTTTTGTGGCTCACTTTATCTGCATTTTTTAACCAAACTTAATAATAATCAATTCTTCTAAATTTTGCAGTCGTCTTAGAGATTTTGGCTTTTTCCACTTACTAAACGAATTCAAGTAAGACTGAGCTTAGGTCTCTCCACCTCAAGAGCACGTATACCTAACAAAAAGTGATGATTTCCCTTGGTGGGCTAGATACCAACCGGTAAGTTACAAATTAAGTAGTAGAAGTGGTAATCGAACGCAGTTCATTGACATGGTCAATCGATGTAATCAGGTGAAGGTAAGGTAAGTTGAAAATTAAAATCATTACAAAATAAAGAGTTAGGCAATTAAGTAAGTACAGCTTCAAACAATAACCTTTCAAAATGTGCAGAAAACATGTTTTCAAAGATTACTCTAATTCATAAACCTTAAATACAGCATTATAAAAATTCAAAAATTTTTCGTACTATTGCTCTACTTAAACCTCAAAAAATGATAATATACTGATCGATCACTCCCAAAAGAATTTGAAACCTTTGAGATTTACTCATTAGAAATAATACTTGATCATAATTATTGACTACCAGATTACGTTATGTCCTTAAAATCGAAATTCACGAAGTGAAATTGTAAAATGTTGAAGTTGAGCAAAATCTGTTTGGTATCACTAAATTAAAAACTAGCACTTTTGGAATTTTATCACAGAAGACTGTGAGCGCGATTGATTACAGAATCGTAGTAGATGTGGTATTGAATCACATGACTGGTATTGGAATGAAGAAAGGAAGTAATGGTGTGTCTTCAACAGGTGATTCTGATTTTGATGCTCGAGCAGAACATATAAACTTCCCTGGTGTACCTTATACAAAAGTAGATACTAACGATCACAAATGCAACCATGATATTGCTGATTCGGATTACACTCAAAATGTTAATAATGTTAGTACTAGTTAGCATTGTCAAGTGTTTAAATTTCGCTCATATAATCTTTGTGTGCATTGAAATTTTTGTTTTAAGCAAGAAAAATTTGAGGTCAAAATTTTGAATAAATATTTGTGTAACGAAAATGCTTTAAAATAAAAAAATTTTGTAAGTTATAAGAACAGAAACATGACTAATAAAAAAATCGGTTTGAAACGACTGAAAAAAAATTTCTGGTGCAGATAGGATCCAAAAATAGGAATCAAAATGTACTACAAACTTTTTTTTTGAAAATACCATGAGGTATTAAAAAAATTATTGAATGAAAAAATTAAAATTTAGTTTGTTCCATAAAACCATATTAAAAACAAGAAGAACTAGATTTTTGGCCAGATAAAATCAATTAAATAATTCAGGTTATAAACTACTTCAGGTGCGCAACTGTCGTCTGGTAGGCTTAATAGATATAAATCAAGGAAGCGAGAGAGTGCGCTCAAAAATTGTTGAGTATTTGAATGATCTAATCGATATCGGAGTCGCGGGGTTTCGGTACTTATTTTCTTCCTTTATAATATTTTGTAATAAAGTAAATAAAAAATAGTTTTTTAAATATGTGATATGACTTGGCACAGTATTCGTTTGTTTTATTTAACACTTGCTGACTTTTGTGCAAGAAAGAGAAGAAAAGAAAAAACTTTTTGTAAGAAAACTTATCTTTGTTTAGCGTGAGTTGTTTGTAAATCACTGCTAGTAGGAACCAGCCTTTAAATGTCTTGCAGTGATTTTGGAATAGAAATACTACGTTAAAGTCAAATTACTAATAAAATCAAACGTATGCTCATTTTTTTCGCTCTATATCGACGTATTTAAGCAGTTTTTTGAAACCGTTCAAGCCTTTGACTTTATCTTATTTCACGAAATTAAAAAAATACCGAGTTTCAGTTTTGATGCGTCAAAACATATGTGGCCGCATGACTTAAAAGTAATCATCCAACGCGTCAAAAATTTGCGAGTGGATGTAAGAGATATATCCACAACATTAAGCTGCAGATTTTTCCATCCTTATTCAAAAAATTAATAACTGTTTGGAATTGCCTAATTTTAAAATTTTGAAATGGAAATTTAAAATAGTTGGTTTAATAAAAAACCGACTTTCGATATTTTTCGTATCAAACAATTTCAACTAATTACAAATGAAATACCAAATGTGAACAGAAATGAGAGAAAAAATGAAAATTTTTGAAAATTGAAATCTTTGAAAACCCATGATTGGATAAAATTTTGGTAATATTCAACTTGAAGATATTCGGCGCAAATCAAAGACCGTTTGTGGTACATGAAGTAATTGATCGTGGCAATGAAGCAGCAAAAGCTTATGATTATCTTGAAATTGGTCGTTACACTGATTTTACTTATGGAGCCTTACTAACGGCTATCACTCGATACGAACACAAAGATTTCAGGCAAAACTTTCAGGATAAGAACTCTAATTTTGTGCATAAAATTCCAAAATCATTTAAGAAAGTATAGTAGTTTTTCATATTATCATACTTACTTTTCCTTAATCACAGAACTTTTCGCCATTTTCAGTTAATTTCAAAGTTACTAAAAAGTTACTAATTTGCGCTGATTTCAGTTTTGTTTTAGCGATTTACAGTGGTGGGGCCCAGGATATGGATATGGCAGTTTTGAAAGTCATGATTTGTTAGTATTTATTGATAATCATGACAATCAACGTGATTCTAATCCTTACGTTTTAACGTATAAAGATGAATCACTATATGCAATGCTTGTGGGTTTTATGCTCTCATGGAATTATGGCTATCCAAGAGTTATGAGCAGCTATGTGTTTAACGATTTCAACAAAGGGCCACCTAATCATGGTGTGCAACGAAGATACGAGGTTCACGTTGCAATTTATAACTTTTTTAGTCAAAAAGCTTTTTGAATCATAGGTACATGTTTAGTATTATAATTACCTTTGTCAAAAAAAAGTTTCAGATTAAATCGCCAGAGTTTGAAATAGCGTATAAAACATGTAACCGTTCATCTGGTTGGGTATGCGAACATCGGTGGCAGGCAATTCGTGGAATGACACTTTTCCGACAAAATGTCATGAATACAGGAACGAAAATACAGTACGCTCAAGGACAACGTCTTGCGTTTTCACGTGGCACAAAAGGCTTTTTTGCAGTGAACAATGATGCTGATGACTGGACTGTGTAGAGATTTTTGGCATTGTCTTCATTATTAGAAATAGACTAGTCAGTAGTAAAGTAATTCTGGCCTCTGTTTATCAAAGTTGGAAAAATTATTACTAATCATTATTTTATGAATAATATGATTATCAAAGTGAGAGAATGAATTATTTTTGTTTTTCTTCGCATCTCACCATTATTGGCTAGACATTGAAGGGGAAAGTATAGTCAGAAAAAGGACAACTTTAAGTATTACCTAAGTGCAATATTAATTTTCAGAAAACTGTATACTAATTTATCCCCTGGAGTTTACTGCGAAGTATGGAGCGGAGAAATGTTCAAAGGCAGATGTACTGGCAGAATGGTAATAGTTGACAGCACAGGTTAATTAATTATAGCAAACTAAAATATTTTTATAACCTTTTTTGAAATTTATTGTGTATAAACTAACTTGTAATCATGATGACACCCATAAATGAGATTATAGTTTTAGTATTCTATAGTCTGGGATGTTTTTTAAATACTTTTTAGTCAACAACTGTAATCAGATTCACTTTGATGTCAGGATTCAAAGTACTGCTATCCATTTTTGAAAAATAGAATTTATTAACAACGATGTATTTACTATACGAATCACTTATTTCAAATGATTTTAGGAAGATCCGAAATTAAAGTACCATCGAGAAGATTCGTTGCTATTCATGTGGGAGCTAAATTGGTCTAGTTCTCGACTTTACAGCTCATTGAGTAAATTAATCTTCAACAAACATTTTTACAAGTCGATTTTTGTATTTCACATACAATAATGCTTCTGCTATATTATTTGGTGCAGTTTTATGAATAAAAATAAAGAATTAAGTTTTTTCTTACGCACTAATAATGTTCACCTTACTTTATTCTTGCTTATATTTGAATTTTTAGCTTTTTGCATATATTAGCTCTAAAGTTTACATAAAATATAATTTCACATCACAATTACATGTATAAAAGTGGTTACCAAATTTAAATAAAAAGCGCAAAATTTTTTTACCAAATTAAAATAAAAAAAATTGTAATCAAGAAAAGTGACCAAATTTAAATAAAAAGTGCAAAATTGTAATATAAAAACTACTGCCAAAATTATTTTGATTCTCTAGCTCATAATTTAGTTTGCTCGTCAATGATTCGCCTTGTAATTCAACAATGAGTTTGCTAAAGACAACAGAAGACAATGAAATTGTATTCATTTTACGAAACAAACTGAATTCTTTTTTAACTTGCCCTGAAATCATATCACTAAATGACCTTTACAGATTGTAGAAGGATCTTCTTCAACAATATTACTTCTTTTAGAAAACATTTGATAATATTGTAAATCACACAGATTGTTGTGTAACTGCAAATTTTGTTTGGCGTTCAACCAAAAATTTATTTATTTCATTCATTTGAAAAGAAAGTCTCACAAGAAAATGTAGCACTCTGTTATCTAAACAAAAAACGGAAATTCTGTATTTTTATTAGTGTTCAACGTGGAATTACTTTTCATCTATCTGCTACAAATAATTACATGACTACAGTTCGAATTTTGATCTAATCAGATCAGATGAGCGTATTGTAATTTTATTTTTTCTCATTCTTTACTGTTCTTAACAAACTCTTTACTGAATGATTTGCTTTGCACTATTTTAATGATAGAATTGCAGTAGTAAATAAGTTGTATGAATCCTATAATTTTAATCAACTTCAGCACTATTTTTCATTAGTCTGAACCATAATATCAATTATTTGCATCTGAATATTATTCATGACATGCAAATTTTTTGAATCCAACTATTGCATAATCTATACCGTAATAAATATCATTTTCATTCAAAGCATCATGAATGATAACTTGACCTGTTGACGTACCAGCACCTTGTAAATTTATGGTGATCGGTCGTATACCAAATACCTGGCTAAAAGATTTTTAGATGAGACAACTTTGAGGTACAAATTCATTGACCACTGTAAATTTTATGCCGGTAATTAGCAGAATTCTGTTGCTTGAAAAATATTTTTTCAGGTCTTTAAAGTTGATAAAAGAAGTACCTGAACATTTTTTCATGATTTTCAGGCCCAGAGTTCTCGATTGTGAAATGAAACGCAATGATCTGATGACTTTTA